CCGATGGTGAACATGTCCAGGATGTGCTTGCCCTGCAGCCAGCCAACCAGCATAATAACCCCTGGGAAGGGAAGGGAAGGGAAGGGTCGTCAGGACAAACACAGAACTAACACACACTGTAGCCATACAGGGGCAAGCACTGAATAGCCAAAACCAAGCTTATCATTGTGCTACCTACAAAAATCCGCTATTTCTTTCACTGTCAAAGCACAATTCCAATAGATTCACACCAGTATGGCAAATCAGAAGAAAGTTTCTGCCCATCAAGTTGCCCAATCATACCAACAGCGAGGAACTCGCGTGCACCCTAATCAGAATACAGGACACTGGAATGTGAAAGGAAGCATGCAGAGGTCAAAAAGTAAGCCTGAGAAGTATCTCTGCAGGAAGATGCCAGTAGACACCCCCACGATAGTTACGTCACAGTAATAATCTTCAAATCACTAGTGGGACAAAGTCAGAGGGACCAATAAAATGAGGAGCCAAAATATTTTTAAAAGAGATCAAGCCTTCCATTTCCCAAGCCTACATGTTAGTTTAATTTACATGATAATTTGTAAGCCTTTTATATAAATTCTCTTACCTATTATACCAAAGGAATACAAGGAAAGCTGTTTTCCCAGGAGATCCATGCTCTTCTGCAGAGGAGTCTTTGGAGCCTTGGTGAATGTTAAAGCACACAGCAGTTAACAAGCACAGTTAAAAAGCATGAACTGTATCAGCCATTACTTCACAAGGGCAAATTTCAGACTCCAACAGTAAGATGCAGTTTTACCCTGTGTCCCCATGTATGAAAACAGGCTACTCTGTTCCATTCTTGTGTAGAATTCAAGAACGCTTCAATGACATTAAAAATTTATTAGAAATAGTCTGGGAGCTTTGTGATGTCTACAGCAAATCTAATACAAAAAGTCATATAAAAGGTTTTACTGGAGAAAAAAAAAAAAGCACCAAACCCAAACCAGAAAACCCCATGGGGACTAAAAGCCACAGCACTTCCTCCGAGAGCAAGAAGTTCTTGACAGCAAGAATAAAGCTTGCTTTTCAAGACAGAGGCATTAGATCCCTGGAAGGCCAATTGCATCTCAAGATGAAGTTGTTAATCATCTGCAGGAAATTCAATTTAGCCAAACAGAAGACTACAGAAATATCTACACAATCTAGTGTCAAAAAAAAAAAAAAAAGGCTTAGAAAGGAGGGAACACAAAGTAAAAATTTTAACTCAAACAAAAAAAAACCACCCCAACCAGTCAACCAACAAAAAAATCCACTTCCTGTTTTGTTTTACATTGGACATCAGTAAGTTTGGGATTTTTAATAGTAATATATGGTGGGTTACACTACAGAAGGTGTGGCAAGAAAGACAGGATCATTGTGAAATCACCTTTGTTACATAAGTTATGAAAAAATTGTGTACACTCTGTATGAGAAAGTTGGTTTGAGTCACTCCTACCTTCAGATCTTACTTTTCAATGAGTTTACTGTAACAAACAACAAAACCAAGCCTACAATACTCTTGATGTTTCAGAATATCCCATATATAGAACACTCACACAGGACTGTGTTGTTTCTTTCATTAACAGTGACCCTTGCTACAATACAGATGAAACGCTGCTGAAGAGATGTTTGCCTTCTCCTCAGGGGTGGATTCCCCTTGGGTGCCTGCACAGCAGCACTCCCTCGAGGGGTGCTGCAATGCCAGTTCATGCCCTTAGCTGCTGTTCCAGCAGATTCCAGCAATGTAAATGTCTGGGGAAAAAAAAGTGCTGCCGGCACCCTGCCTGAAGGTGTCCTGGCAGCTGGAGATGGACTGTCTGCTGCTGATCCAAACTGGTCCTGGCAGCTGGAGATGGACTGTCTGCTGCTGATCCAAACTGCTCATGCAGCCAGAGAAGCAGCGAGAAGGCACGAGATGCACAAAGCACTCAAGAGTCTGATTCCCATGTCGAAATGCTGGGGTCTGAACCCCGAGCCCCACATTAAGGTTGACATGTGGGTGATTCCCACAGCCCTTCATCCAGAGGGGTGAGTTTGCCTTAGAGCTTCCCCCCAGGGTGCGGCCGGGCCTGCAGGGAGAGCCAGAAGGGAAATGAGCCCCAGGGGTCCTGCACTGAGTGAACAAAGGTTAGGGCTCTGCGTGGGATAAAAGCTGGGACCACTGGCAGGAAGGGAGGAGTGTCTGTCTGTGGGGTGGATGCACTTCACAGAGCTTCCTGGTTGGGGAAGGACCCTCCTGACTCCCTCGAGCTGGGCCCTGGTCAGGTTGGACCTCTGTAAACACGGGCTAGGAGGGTGAGAGCTGCCATGTGGGCACCTCTGTCCTGTGTGCTCAACCTGCTGACCTGGCTGTCTCCCATTCCACCCATGGGCAGCCTCGGATCCGTGTTTGTTCCGCCTGTTGTCAGTCGTGCAGTATCACTGTTGGGGTCGTTGGGGGTGGTGTCAGTGGTGTGTGAACTAATTGACTGATCTGTACCCCCAGTGACTGTCCATGGAATGTCTTTTCTACATTCAATACAGTCCTGTTACTGGTTTGTCTTTCTGCTGGCTGTGGGATTCCTGCTAGGCCTGGTAACTGGCCAGACACATGTAGATCAGGGTACCGTGGTAAAGAAGAATCACTGTGGAGACTGGCAGACAAGAGTCAAAGGGAGCTGATAAAAGGATAAAGTGGAGACCGTGAAGCAGCAGCAGACACATGGATAGCCCCAAAGCACACTGCTCATCCAGGGAACCCACAGTCCTGTGCACGCAGCACAGATCTGCAACAAATCCCTTCCACACAATGTTGTTCCACTTGAAAAAAAATCCACTGCCACACCTTGCAAATGGATTTGTTCCACTGAACAGGTTCAGATTATTATTTTCACAGTTAGCATTTTCAGGTGAGTTATGGATATTTTGTTGCACTGAATTAAATTACTACCTTCACATTCAAGAGATAAGATTTGTTTCACTAGAGGAAGGAAAAACACTAACAGCAACGTATTGAAGTTTAACCAAATTCCCGTGAAATAAATTCAGAGTTTTAATTCATGAAATATACATTTACAAAATACACATCTTTTCTTCTAAATACTCAATCTTACCTCTTCTGCTTGCATCATTTTGAAAACCTCCCCAAATTCAGAGTTTTCTCCTGTTCCAATAACTATCCCCTAAAAAAAGCAAAAATAAAGCCAATTCAAATCTGAAGTTTGATGGTAGCAGTTGCTCTTGACAACTTTCACTCAAACAGGGGGCAAATGCTATTTAGTCTGCAACCATTCTGTTAGCTTCATTTATAAAATGAATTCTTGGCACAAAAAAGGAGGTTTTTTTGCTGAAAAACATTTTGTCTCTGTGAAACAAACTCCTATTCTGCATGCTGCTTAAGTACTTAGCAACCAGCAGTTTCAAAACTCAAGTAGGGTAACACCTTTCTAACACTAACCACCACTTTATTTTCAGTTACAGATTTTTTGTGAATGTAGTTCTAGAAGCAAAATAAGACATCCTAGACAGAAGTTTTACATCTGCTCCCTATAAATTCGAGCTCTCCTGGCCCTATGTTAGTTTTCTTTTTAAACTGGTGCCTGAAAAAGCATCAATGAGAAAAACTCTGCAGTGTATCACAGTAAGTATTCTGTATTTCCAGGAAAATTGTTGTTTCTATTCCATTTCTATTGTTTCAGAAAACTCAAAATATGTCATCGTTACATTTCTCAATTGACAGGTGAACTTTAAAAATATGAACTGCCTTCAAACAGTTGAAACATGGAAAATATTCTTCTCTGCCCACAATGATTTTACCTTTGCTTTTCCACATCTGACCAACGTTCCCATGAAAGCAATATTGCTCCTTGAAGTCAGGTCTCCATTGGTTGCTGCAGGCTGAGGAGCTGTAGACTTAGAGCAAGGAGCTGTCTCCCCTGTGAGACTGGATTCGTCAATAGAAAGGTCCACAGCCTGTGAAAGCAGAACAGGTAAAAAGCACAACAACCTTCTTTAAGTAGTGGAAAGTGTTAGCAGAAGTTTCCCATTAAAAACTTCCATTAAAAGTCTGTCCTGTGTATGAAAGGCTTCAGAATGTAAACTGCTTAATTACCATTGCTACAATTTTCTAGGACAGCATCAGTCAGACTGTGCAGAAGGGACCTAGTTCTTGCCCCGAAATTATGCTCCCCATACAATTTTTTAAAACCCCACCACCTTGTAACTGTGCACAGTAGAGACAAGATCAAAATAAGAGCACGCTCTTGTTTTTGAAGGAATCTGCAGGAGTTGTTCAGGCTGATAAATTTTCACCTGGTGTGGGGCTACAGACAGGTGGGAAACTTCTGTTCCTGCCTGCCCCTGCCCCAGGCATGCTACTCTCAGAGCAGGCTCCCACCTTCCAGGAGGGCAGATGCTGCTGCAGCTGCAGCTCAGTGCCCACACAGAGACTGCACAGCTGCTCAGGGAAAGGGAACGTGTCCTGCAGTCACAAAAACCAAACCCACACAAGTACCAGCTGTGCCAGAGGGACCAACAACTGACCACCTAGGCAAATTTCTCAAGAGAGCCACGAATCTGCCTCAGTAACCACCTTGTTTAGGCTTTATTTATAAAATGAACACTGATTAATCCAGTATCAACTGTGGACATACTGACTATGCAGCTCACCATACCCAGAAATTACTTTAATACGATAGGTAATCCAGGTACTGGGCAACCTGAGGATGCCCCATCTGACAGAAAAGTAACATGACATTATTCAGTCAAAACCATGAAAAACAGCAAGATGAACATGTACACATTCCACTTCATTTTCAGAGAATCTGCAAGTGCTGTTGCAGTGCTATTGCTTCAGCTCAAGCACTTCCAGCAGTACTAATGCTGCAAATTAAGTACTTAGACAACTAGATGATACAACACCACACACTGATTAAAGTACCAGAGAGGAAAGATTATGCTGCCACTATGTCACTCTTTTTCTACTACTCCACTGTCAGAGAACACTGAAACTATACCCTAACAATTAGTGCAAACAAAGACTCAAAGACACCTGACAAAATCTCTTAGCATTCAGACTGAACTCAATCATTTTAGAACACATGTAACACTGAGGGAAAAGTACTAATCTATAACTTTCAAGAATGCATTGCTACAGAAAACTGGAGAACTCTCTCCTCTCACGTCTTACAGTGAGAAGTCACACACACTCTTAGGAATGCGCAATTACATTTGGAAAGCAGTTGTTTCAAAACGTCTGTGGGAATGGTTGTGACATTACTGCCCATCAGCACTCAGTGTCTGTGTCCCCCGGGCCCCACGGAGCAGGAGCAGTGCCAGGCACCCACCTCGAAGAGCCGCAGGTCGGCCGGGACTCTGTCCCCCACGGCCAGGCAGACGGTGTCCCCAGGGACCAGGTCCCGGGCCAGGGTGTGCTCCAGCCGCCCCTCGCGCACGCTGCGGGACACGTGGGGAGCGTGAGTGGATCCCCTGCCCCCCATCCCTGC